GGGGCTCCTGGCATTACTACTAGGAGCAAGAAGCTACTAGTAACAAGTTGCCTTACTACTAGTAACAAGAAGCATATCCAGCAAAGTAAACAAACCAAGCCAAGCAAGCAAGGGAGCAAGGAAGCAAGAGAAAAAGGTCAGAACGATGTCTGAACATCTAAAGAAAAGAATGACCTTCATGACATTTTAGACTTTAGACCCTTCCTTCCTTCCTTCCTTCCTTTTCCTTCCTTCCTTCCTTTTCCTTCCTTCCTTCCTTCCTTCCTTCCTTCCTATTGTGCATCTTCCCTATTATACAAGAATGCGATCTTGGCACCAAGTAGGTTGATTAGCCCCTGAGCTTGATGTTGGATATTTGATGATAGTTGCAACATTTGCTTGCTCCACCTGTTCATTCGCCTCGGTGTTCAAAAGCAGTCTGAACAAAAACCAGGAAAGCACACGTGGATCTTGGTAGCGGCAAGCAAGAGTGTCAAGGATTGAGACAAACGCAGTCACTTTGAGAATGGAAAAACCTCCCTGTCCAATCAGGCATTTCGTTGAGCTCCCACAACAGCCTTGGCTGAAAGCTTTGTTCGCATCTTGCAGCATGAGTGCTTTGAAGGTTCAGTGGCCGGCAAGTATTTTGTGGACGAGTTTAAGCCACATTTTTTGGCTTTTTTGGCTTCGAGCCAAGGATGCTTTCGGCACTCCTCGTGCTATTTTGGAAGAAGCGGCGAAAGCTACTGGCCTCCGTTGGGCTTTCAAAGGCAGGGTAGCCAAACGAAATAGTCAAGGAGTGAGTGGAGTGAAGTTCAAGATTGAGGTCAAGACAGATTTGGGGCGCACCGTTGAAGCAGCATGGTTGGCGTAGATTCAGCCTTTGTTCAAGTTGTGGAGGCCCAATCTTCACTGCTGAGTGGTTTGGGAGTCGAGATACTTGGGTCATGGAAGTGCAGGAGAGATAATACACTCCGCAGATTTTTTGCAGTTTCACTCTTTCCGTTCATTTGTAACCTTTTCGACATAAATTTGTAGATGCATCTTGAACCTTCGCTGCTTGTACCCCAGGATGAGATGCCAGAGCTAGACATTCAGCTTGGGGCTAGGATGGTAAGTGAAGATTGTGATTTGTTGGCAGCACAACTCTTTAGCCTCCTACTGCAGAGGTCTTGCCCGTTTCCTCTGCTCTATCGTGGCAATGAACTTGATTCAGAGCCTGAGATTCGGGATGGCTTCCATAATGCCCCTTGGGCTGAATGGAGGTTCAATATGAGCGGAAGCCTACGCCATCAGCAATTGACACTTTTCTGGTCTTGTCACTAGAGGTGGATGGCTTGAACTTTCCTGGCGAGGACAATTTGCATCCTGAAAGCATTGAACACCGCACCAAAGACTTGGGATCGAAACAACGTAAAGGCCTTTGAAGGTTCTATTTTTCACAAATTCCGTCGACAAAACCGAAAGCTAGGTTTGCATGCATGCTATTGACCTTGGTGCATCAACCAAAGTCAAAAGGGTGACTTCAGCATGTGGTGCGGGAAAAGCTGAGGAAGAGTTGATAGAATGAGCAATCCTCATTTTAAGGATAGTGCGAGTTCAGGAGACCTGCAACTGAACAAAAATAGGGACAACGGATGTCGTAGTTGAACGCTCCTGCAATCCATTTGCTTCCTTCGTCTTTGTTGCCCGAGGCCCTTAGCCATGAAACTTGCAGATGATGTGAATGATGTGGAAATCGTACCGCACCTTGGACGACAAGCTTGATGTATTATTTCTATACAGGGTAGTGGAACCTCCATCGAGAATATGATCTTTACGTGCTACAGAACTTGATCTGCTCGCACCTGAGAATGGCTGGGTATTTGGCAGATCCGAATTTAGGAGCTGCCCGATTCTCAGTGGGCAGCATTGCATCATGCGTTTGTAAAGTAGAAAAGTTGGTCCTTTGAGTCGAGCCTCGAACCGGTGCTAGGCTAGCGCATGTGAGAACATCTTCGGCACCTTGTGACGTCCTCGGAGCGGTGAGCGTTCTGTTTCGTGCGTTTTGTTAATACCTGGCATGCCACCTTGACGGACAGCTTGAGGGCCGCACAGACACAGACAGACAGACAGACAGACAGACAGACAGACAGACAGACAGACA